AAAGTGATGAAGAAGAGCATCTATTTGCTGCTCTGTCTCGGTGCACTGATATTTATGTAAAGGCGGGTATTTAGCCTCTGACACTATATGTGCTAAATTTTGGTTAGCATTATTGCCATGGAAATTGTTTGGAAACTGTAAGGTAACAAACAAACAAAAAAATTGATTCTCATGATTGATTCTGCATTCTTTTTTTAAAAAAAAGATTTATTTTATTTGTGCATATAAGAGCTGGGTGTAGACCAGAGGTACGGGGTGGGGGCGGTGGTGAGAGGATTCACCAGAGAAAGAGTGGGGAGCAGAACAGGTGGAACCCATGAAATACACTGCTGAGGGGAGCAGTGGGTGAGACAGGAGAGGTCTGCTGTGCCATGTGGATCATCTTCCTGGCTGGGGATCGAACTTGTGCTGCAGTGGCTGCGGATACCCTATTAGTGCTGCGTCTTAGCCCCTTGTGCCACCAGGGAGGCTCTGCATTCTTTTTTATTTGGACCTTCCTAAAGATTAATCATTGAGTTCACTTGGCATTGTCTTTTTGAATTGATATGAACTCTCAAGGGCAGAACCCCTAATTCTCTGTACTTCTTAACCTGATCTCAGCCCCAGGGAAAATTATGCCATAATAGAAATTTTTATTGTCTCTCTTTCCTGTACAGGATTCATTATAACCAAGGTTTTGTTCTCTTGTCTATCATTCTTGTGGATTTGGAAAATGGTCTGGCATTAACCAGTAAAAACTTTAGATTTTAGTTTTACAGTAGGATTTAAAATGACGTTTATGGTGAGCTTTCAGGTGATGGACCTGGAAGAAGATATTTTAATGACTGGAAGAAGAATCAGAGTTAGAAAAAAGGGAAGACTGGACTCTCCCATCAACAATAACTAAAATTTATTTTAGTGAATCATATTAGAAAATGTAACTATGATGATTGCGACATCAGTTCTGATCATGGCTTTGGATTACAACTGGTTCAACTTCCAAGGTTGCTGGGGTACAACTGCGGGTGGAGTTTGATGGGAAGGGAGGGAGCCTGCTGGGAGTGGAGTATCTACCGAACCAACCTCCATTTTCCAGGTGGGATGTCAGTGTTAGGAAAGCGAAGACATGAAGACATGAAAGAAAATGAAGACATTCCTTTAATCGTGTGCAGTAATGTAACCGAAGACCGTCATCACTCTAGTTCTTGGAACAGAAAGAAGGTTAAAAAGAGCATTAAAAAGAACTGAAGTTTAGCCAAATAAGAATTTCCTGCTTTATTGCTTTTTGTGGAGACACAATTATTTATTCCCTCAAATATCTTCTGCAAAGGCATAGATTTGTGAAGTGAGACTAGGCTCCTGGCCCTAGGTTCCACAGTTAGTTGTTGGCAAGATTGGGTGTGAAGTCAGAACATTGAATAACTGAAGTAAAGTACTGTGATTAGGAAGGATGTTACCCTAATTAGATGGAAGACACCTTGATAAATGGTGGGCATTTCATTTTGATAAATGCATTTAATAAAACGTATTTTCTGATGTTCCGGATAATATCATGGAGACATTTAAATCCAGGCAGAATATGTTAGAGTTGGACAGATATTCCCAGAACACCTAACTCCATAGATTTAAAAAAAGACAAAACATGGAGGCAGAGAAAAGTGATCCACCAAAACTCTACTTAATTAATAAGACACAGACCTGGAGGATTCCTGTCTCCCTGTGCAGTGGATCTTCCTCTACTCAGGGATTTCAGAGGTCAACAGAGATATAATTTAAATCTAATTCTGAAGCTCAAAGTTTTTAGAATACTTGTACTACACCCCTCTGTGGATATGGTTTGGGTCACTTACTTGGGATAATATTGAGGAACTGACATTACACTTGTTATAGAATATGAGTTATATTTAGTATAAAATGCATCCAAACCTTCCTTCCATCCAGTCATCCATGCATGTATCCATGTATCCATCCAACTATCTGTCTATCCATCCATCCATCCCTCCATCCATGTATCCATCCATCCATCCATCCGTCCGTCCGTCCATCCATCCATCCATGCATTCATCCAAATTCTTTTTCTCTCATCCTCAACATACAACCAACTACAAAGGTCTATATTGTAGTTTTCACCTCTTTGACATTTGCATCTACTGTCTTACTTCCATCCCCACTGCCTTCACCCATTACCCCTAGCCCTGCCCCAAATCAGGGCAGCATCTCCTTCCCTTGAACGCCTACCACATCTAACTCTCCCAGCTATAGCTCTGACTATCCTACAAGTGTGATCATATAATTTTCTGCTTAAAATCCTTCTCAACTTAACCATAGTTTTTTTTTTAGATTATGTGATTCTCCTTTGTTTAGCATAGTAGGTTCTCCGTGATATCACCCACTGACTTCTTCATTTCTCTCACCGTCCTGCCTCTCGCCCTACCTCAGAATATGATGATACACATGTGCTCTCACTAAATGTTTGCTGAGGACAGACACATCAACCCACTTGCCTTTCCCTGAACTTGTCATTTTCTCATTATGTTCATCCCTTAAACATGCTCTTCTTTGTACCGCAAATCCCCAACTCCCTTTACATCTGCTACAAAAAAATCTTGCTTATCTTGTAAGTATTAGGTCAGACATTATCTTCTGTTGCTCCTCTTTCTTCCCTCTGCTTTGGTCTACACTTGGTTCCTCTCCTGCTTTTCTAAACTCTGCCATCCATGGGCAGCAAGCCCAACCTCCTAGATGCCCCCCTCCAACAAGAGGACTTCTATTGTCTAGCTTGCTTATCTTACAGATAAGGAAACTAAGTTTCAGAGCAGGGACTAGCCAAGGAACATACATTTGGTGAGAAGTAGAATCAGGACTAAAATCGAAGTCCCCTAAAACCCCATTCAATTCAACATTGCCTAGCACGTCCCCATATGTATACTGTTTTCTTCACAATTGGCAAAATTATTCTCACATGTAGTAGCTGTGTGATTTTGCGAAAAATACTTAATCTCTCTGCAACCCTGAATTAATGAAAGAAATACAGTGTCAGACAACTCTCAAATGTAAAGGGCAAATGTCATTTTATTTTTTTATTTATTTATTTTTTTTATCTTCATGTACTTTGGTATTATTTCTTTTTTTTCTTTTATTTTTTTTTAATATTAAATTTTATTTTTATATTCCCCCATACAATTGCAAACGCCCCATTCTGACCCCAATCCTTCCCCTCCCACCCCCCACCCCCAAAAAGTGTCTCTGGTTCATAGTTTTTTGTTGATTTTGATTTTCACTTTCTTATATTCATTTTCCTGGTCCCTTATTTAAGTTTTCTAGATTCCTGCTATGAGTGAGACCATCCGGTATTTTTCTTTTTCTTTTTGGCTTATTTCGCTGAGCATGATCCCTTCCAGTGCCATCCATGTTGCTGCAAATTGCATGTGTTTATCTTTTTTGAATGCTGAGTAATATTCCATGGTATATATGTACCACATCTTCTTGATCCAGTCATCTATTTTTGGGCATTTGGGTTGTTTCCAAAGCTTAGCTATTGTAAACAGTGCTGCTATAAACACAGGGGTGCAGGTGCTCTTTGGAATTGATGTTTCTGTGTCCTTTGGGTAAATACCTAGGAGTGGAATTGCTGGATCATATGGAAGCTCTATGTTTAGTAGGTCCAGAAATCTCCACACAGCTCTCCATAGTGGTTGGACCAGTTTGCACTCCCACCAACAGTGCACAAGAGTTCCTTTTTCTCCACATCCTCGCCAACATACAGACACATCACCCAAAGCAGTGATAGTGAAGAGAAAGATAAACAGCTGGGATTACATCAAATTAAAGAGCTTCTGCACAGCAAAAGAGACAATAACAAAAACAAAGAGAAACCCCACCAACTGGGAGAACATTTTTGCACCCAACACTAATGATAAAGGACTGATCACAAAAATCTGCAAAGAGCTGATGAGACTCAGCAACAACAAAGAAAATAATCCAGTCAAAAAATGGGCAGAAGAGCTAAAAAGAAACTTCTCTGAAGAGGAAATGCAAATGGCCAACAGACATATGAAAAAATGTTCAACATCACTTGTAATCAGGGAAATGCAAATCAAAACTACCATGAGATACCATCTCACACCAGTGAGAATGGCACATATTAAAAAAACTAGCAAATGTCATTTTAGACAAAAGTCTGTGAGTTTGTTCTTTCATTCAGAACAGCATGCAGAGCCAATCACCTGGAAAGTCAATAGGGGACCATTGGTCTGAGCATGAGTGTCCTTGGATTTGGGGCTTATTAAGCTCTTGTGCTTTAGTACTAGGCAATAGGATGATCTAATCCATTGTATGATTTTAAATCATAACACCTAATAGTACAATGATTCTTGGTTTAGAATGAGGGACTGTGATAATTAGCTGCTGTGCCTGGAAAACACATGATTTCAGACTCGCCATGAGTTCAATCCAGATCCCCCACTTTCTGCTTAACCATTTTGAACGAATTATTTCCTCTAAGACTTAGCATCCATCTCTGGAATATCTGTGTCACAGGATTGTTTATTCATTTCTAGGAAACTTTATCAAACACCCACTAAGTGCCTATTGTAGACATTCGGGCATCATTGAACAAGGCAACGTGAAGAATCATATGAGATAAGCGTCGGCAAACCCTACACTCAGCACCTGGCATGAGTGAAATGCTCAACAAATGACAGCTGTATGCATCGCATGTTCTTGGTCACGGAGCAGAACCATGTCGTGCACTCTGTTTATTTTAAAGACTTCCCCTTGCCCACAAGGGATGTGTGCAACCTTTGTTGACTTCCATGCTCACCCGATCTGTTGAATTGGGGTGATGAGTCCAGGCACCATGTCGCTGAGTGGAGTTAGTGTCATATAATATCAAAAGCTTTCAAGGGGGTGGCAGAAGAATGTCTCTGGAGACACTTTTATTTGAAATAGGGATAAAGGTCTCCATGGCAGGCTAACTTCTTCCATCTCTCAATATTGTGTGTTCTACCTCCTTTTCACAGGCTGTGTTGGAAAGCGATGAAATGGGACTAGGATCAGACCGTGTGCAGAAAAGGATTTTTCTCATCTTTGAATCAACATAACTCAGAGTCTGTTTCCAAGAAATTGGTTTGGAAGTGCAAATTCTACAATTTTTCTACTTCCCTGTTACCCTGGTGAGCACCAGTCTCTCCAGGTCCTTAAGAGCTGTACACCATTGAAGGAAATATTGGTGCTGGAAATAGGATAAAACATAGCAAACATCCTTGGAATTACCCTGCAAGGTGACGGAGAGAAGAATTCACAGTGAGGACGTTCCATGCACCAGACAGCGTGGGGGGCGCTGGGGACTGGAAGGTGATGAGACAAACGAGTTCTCTCCTCAGGGAGCTCACACAGAGCCTCGTATAAGCAGGCATGGAGAGTTAGGGAAGACTCTCTGAGTTTGGGCTTTTTAATCTCAGACCTGAGGACCAAAAAGGACCAACAAGAAGACCGGAAAAATTTACCAGAGGGAAAGAGGACATATGCAAAGACCCTGGGGTGAAGATGCATTTTGAAACTTGGTGTTTTCTAGTAACTGAGAGGAAACCATAGGGAACGGAGCAGTGGGGATCTAGAGCAGCTAACAAGAGCGAGAGTGTGGGAGGTTGGCAGGCTGTTGGAAGGAGTCTGGATCTTAATCCAAGTCACATGAACTCTCCAGAGGATTAAAAGGAACATTTTTTAAAAAGTTTGTAATCCTCAGATCTTCAGAAGAGTTGCAAAGATAGTACAGAGTTCCCTTGCACTCTTGACCCAGTTCTCGCTGATGCAGACATCTTCATAGCCACGGTACATTGATTATAACCTAGAGATTAGCACAGCACAGTACTATTAACTCCACATCACTGTGGGTTTAAGCAGGGAGATGACTTCATTTACTTCATGTTTGGAGAAGTTGGCCAAACTATATGTGGGAATGACTCAGAGGAGGGTAGACTGGAAATGGAGGACCAGTTAGAAAGTCTTGGCAGAGAGCTAAGTGAGAAAAGGTGGGTATGATGCTGGCAATGGGGATGGCGGATCTGATAGGGATTGGGATTTAGCGTTGGATGGGAAACGCAGAAGGAATGAAGGAAAGGGAAACAAACGCCGCCTAAATGTGAACAGTAAGATGGAAGTTAGACTGATGGACTTGAGGGAGAGTGGGACAACTTTGCAGAAAAATCAAGACTTTGGTTTTGAACAGGTTAACGTGAGATGCCTGGAATTTTGTATAAATATGATCTGTCACTTACACACTAGAAGAGAGCCCAAATTCGAGGCCTATCTGGACTAAACACTTGCTTCCTACTCTTAGCTCTCTCCTTTGAATGAGCAGGAGGCAATAGTAGTAAACATTATTGAAAAGTCCGGTCCTGCACTGGATTCCCAAATTCAATGAATAGGTAGATTTGGGGCAATGGAAAGACACATTAGTATCGCAAATATTTGAAGATTGCACCTTAAAAAGGGAAATCAAACATGCAAATCACAGCCCGGGGGCCAGGCACACTCTGAACTTGGGCCTGGCGTCCTGTAAAGGGCAGGAACAGGCACCAGTGCAGGTTTTCTAGGATCCAGCAGACCGGGTAAAGGAGGAGTCAGAGTCCTCAGTGGTTTTGCAGGCCTTTTATTGGGATTCACCAGGCATACGGCAGGCAGGGGTGCTGGGGGGCCGGGAGGATAGCAGTCCTCCCAGCCCCCAGCAAGTCTTCACTCTATCTGGGCTCTCCGGCCTTCTCTGCTTCTCTTTTGGCTTCTGCTTCGGCTTCATCTGGTGTCCCCGTGGCGCCGCCCTTAAAAGCACAGTCTTAGCCCAGGTGTACCCACTCCAGGTACCCGCCATCAGGCATGCATTCAGGATCACAGGGTTCCCTCATCTATCCTGATGGCGGGAGGGCAGAAAAGCCTGATATTTTTCCTTACCCTACACGTCCTTACTGGTAAAGTGAGACCACGTGACGCCAGGGAAGGCCAGCGAGCTGACCACACGAGGTGAGGTTTAGAGAGCGCCTGGCATGTAAATGTGGGCGCGTTTCCTCTCCTTCTCGGCAGATTTCCTTGGTGAACAAAGCAATTTCTTGCACTTATAAAACACTCCACAATTTTCAAAGTGCTTTACATGCACAGCCTTAGAGCCTCGTCTAATTTTCTCTGAAATCAGAATAAAATGGCAGTAGCTCTTTTTCTTTTCAAAGTAAGAAAAACTTCAGAATTCAGTTAATTCAATGATTGGGCTTGACTTAATTTAGTGTGGAATTAAGGGCTTTCAGTGAGGGCTGGGCTCACTGACCATCACATTAACCTGAATCAGCCTCTGCATGGAACGACCCCAGCACTTCACCGCCCAGGGTTCCGAAATCCTCGCTGACTGTTTGCAGTGAACTCTCCTTGTTTATTTCACCACCAATTAGTGGATTTGCACACTTGGGCAGAGCTTGGTGCAGGTATGTAGCTGCTCCACATGCAGCCCCCATATTCCCTAGCTGGTGTCAGGCTACCATCCCTGCCCCAGGGCTCTGTGCTTCTGCCTACTTCTGCTGGGTCTCTCTGCCCCTCCAGCCTTCTCTGCACTTCTCCCTGGACCATCAGATGTCAGAGTGTGCAGGTCTGTCTTGCACACATCATCCCTTGTCTTACCGTTTGCTTAGTGGATGCTTGCTAACCTCTTCTTGTCTCTGGAGCTTGGTAGCCCTCTTCATTTGATTGAAGAATTGGAGACCATTTTATCAGTTTCTTCCACCAGCTGGATCCCGGTTGTTCATTCACTGACATCACCCATTCAATGGTTCACTCAGTCACTGAATTATTTGCTAACCTGCTTTCCTCTTTTCATCCATTGCTCTTCTTCATTCTTTCCTGTAGTAGGGAATTGAGTCTTTAGAGCAACAGTTATTGAAAAGAGGGTGACTTGTGATGGGTATGGTCTGGGTATCCTTATGGGCCATATGTTAGTGACCCCTCCACTCACATGCTGAAACCCTCCTCCGGATTAGGAGGTGGAGATTTGGGGACAAAATGAGGGTAAGATGAGACCTGAGAGTAGAACTCTCCTGAATGGGATTAGTGCCTTTTGGAGAATCATGAAAGAGCTTATTTCTTCTCTCTTCTCTCTACCATGTGCAGATACAAGAAGTTGGCAGTCTGGACCCCAGAAGAGGAATCTCACTGGAACCTGACCATGTTGACACCCTGATCTTGGGCTTCCAAGCTTAAACTGTGAGAGAGAAATTTTTGTTATTTATAAGCTATTAGTTTATGATATTTTGTGATAGCAGTCCAAGCTGATCAAAGATTGCAAAGCAGCAAGTCCCCAAGGGCTGAGGTTCACCCAACCAGTACAATCATTATCTAGAGTTGATGAGGTTCCAAGAGTAGCACCTCAGAAATCATCTTGTTCATCCCATCCTGTCTCATGGAAAAGAAAATGGAGGTCCCGAGGGTGAGCTGTCTCCTTGACAGTGGGGATGACACAATGAAAGTTACCCACCTCACAAAGTTGGGGAGGCAGGTATTAATCCCCACTCTGCCAACTCCTAGCTCTGTGCCCTTGGTTAAGTGCCATTTCTCTTACCCTGTGTTCTCATTTCAAATTGGGGTCATCATACTTACATTGCAGAGTTGTTGCAAAGAGTCAAAAAGACTACAAGTAAAGAGCCTAGCACACTCTCTTACAAGTAGTAGTTGCTCAAAAAGTGGTGGCTATTATTAATTGGGACCGAAAACCTGGAACCTGAATCCTTGGTCTAGAATTTCTCCTTCACCCTGGGCTGACCAATCCTCCACAGGGTCTGGTTCTAAAGCCTCCTTTTCTGCTAAGTTTTCTTGCTCCTCTCCCTCAGAGTTTTTTTTTTTTTTCCCTTTCTTTGTGGCTCATAAGATTTTCCTTTCGCTGAAGCCATTTCCTTCTGCCTTGTATTTACAGTGCCGTGTGCCCTCTGTGTGGCTGTGCACCTACATAGCTCTCCTGGGTTCCACAGCCTGAGGGCAGAACACTGTCTATAGGTCTTTGTGTCTCTTTAGTTTAATTATCTTCCATCTCTAATGAGGCAGTTTGAACTTTGTTAAAAATGCAAATTACTTGGTCCTACTTTCGAAAGATTCTTATTCAATGGGACTTGTCCATGTATGTGGATTTTTAGAAAATGATCTACCTGATTCTAATGTAGGTGGATCTTAGCACTTTGGGGCTTATAACCCATCTACCTATTTTGGTGGCTGTCAGAAATCCTCATTAGTTGAATTTGAATAAGATGTATTCAATTGTTATTGTTCCCCAACAAACCACACCTAATCAACAAATTGCTTTTTCTCACAATTCTGTGCGTTGGCAATCTGACCGTTTCTGCTGGCCTCACCCGGGTCCCACATGAGGCTGCTTTCAGATGGAGGGTCAGCCTAGGCTAGGTCAGTTGCATCAACTGGGCTTCTCTCTCCATGGTGTCATTCATTCTCAAAGAAGTTAAACCAAGCTCCCTCACTTGGTGGCAGCAGCATTCCAAGGGGATAAGCCTCATGGCATAGGCATTTACGAAGTCTCTGTGTGTTAAATTTGCTGACATCAGGCCTCCCTGGTGGCGCAGCGGTTGAGTGCTGGGTTGCGAAGCTGACCACAGCCTCTGCAGCACCGGTTCGATCCCCGGCCACCGAGTGAGGGTCCCACATGGCGTGCAGACCTCTCCTGCCGCCCGCTGCTCCCCTCAGCAGTGTACTTTGTCAGTCTGCCTGTTCTGCTCCCCGCTCTGACTCTGGTAAATTCTCTCACCCTCCTGCGCTTCTGACTGTACCCAGTGCTTGTATAAATAAATATATAAATATTAAAAGAAAATGCTCACATCTCATTGGCCACCACAAGTCACATGACCAGAGCTGGTATGGGGGAGGGGCATGCCTGACTTCTGGGAGGTGTGACTTATCAGTAAGATTGCCAGGCAAAGTATAGGACAAGATGTATTTGGATTTCAGATAAGTAGAGGATGTATTTTTTCTTTTGGTATAAGTATGTCCTGTGCAATATTTGGGAAATACTTATGTTAAAAATTATTATTTGCTAATTTTTTAGTCAAACTATGTCTTTTACAATATTTGGGACATATATACATTAAAAAATTATTCTTTGTTCATCAGAAATTCAAACTTAACTGGTCATCCAATGTTTTTATTTGCTAAATCTGCATCCCTATATTAGAAAGAATTAATGCAATATTCGTTCACCTGCATTCTAATCTCTATTACCCTTCATTATGAACTTACTGCTTTGGGCTTTTTTTGTCTCAGATTAGTCTGAAACTGGATTCTTGCTTCTTTTGCTTTTTAGTACTAAGAATTGCAATATTTTGAATTCTCTTAGCTGATATTTTCTTGATTATCTGAGGAGCAATTTGCCTCTTTGTTTCTTTCTCTCTTTTTTCTCTTGTCTTTTTTCTTGAGTATTTTCTCCTCTGGATGAGATTTGCTTCTGGAATCTTCCATCTTTTCCATTTTTCCTGAAGAAATTCTCTTCCCCAAGAGCCAGACTTCCCTGTAGACACCATTGTTTCATCTGCTTTGTATCATAAATTCCTTTTGCAGCCTGGGGATGCCTAAGGACTCCTCCTGGGAGTAGTTCTTTTAAATGCATAAAATAAAATACAAAGAACATCAAAGAATTATATTTAAATTTGGTTATCAAAATTTTGATAAAACAAACAAAAATTGTGATATCATAATATACCTACTTCTTTATCAAAACATTAAAGAATAAGATCTAGAGGCAGGTCTCCTTCAAAGTAATACATGACTGTCAACTGTATTTCAAGATGTCTGCAATATCTACAATATGATATAAAAATGTCTTGATTCTCTTGGTCACAGAATCAAAGGTGCTGAAAGAAATGCTAAACATCTGAGTTTAATGAAAATAAAGAGGAAATTTTTTTGGCCATCCAACTTCACAGACCCCTGAAGACTACAGTTCTTAGAGGTTCAGGTCAAGAATGTCTGCATCTAAAGAAATCTGAATCAATCCGTTCTTTTTTCTGGGACTATTCTGCCTCCTTAGCAAAAACACCTTATTTCGCTTTGAAACTACAGCTGATTAGCTGCAGTTAAAAACATTGCAAGACAACTACAAATGAAGCAAGTTAAACTTCAAAATCTTTTCTTTTTATTGGTAGATGCCACCCAAAGAATAGAATGGAGTCCCTTACAATATTTCTGTCCTGTTATCTCTACTTTTCTTAGGACTAGTGTTTTGCAGATAAAGCTCTCAAAATTAATTCCAGTCATGATCTGTGACTTTTGCTTGTAATTACTATTTGAACCAAATCATTCTTCCGCCTGATGTGATTATTGATCATCATAGAGTTACTTACCCAATATCATTTCCTCCGTAAGTGCTTCTCTTTCTCTCTGGTGATGATGTCACTGATCGAATGTCCTTCCAGAGGCAGTGATTGATTTATATTTTACTTTCCTTATCTGTCCATAGGCTGGGCTTCTATTAGCTTCAGGACACCCTTGGGTCCCCCTTTTGTTGCTGCCTCACATGCTTTGTCATTCTCCTCTGCTGACTCGCTATCTTTTGTCTGATCTCAAACTACCAGCATGTTCCTGGGTCCTATCCAGAGTTCTTTGTTCTTTTCTTGTGTGTGCTCTTTTCTTGAGTGATCGCATCCATACCAAGACTTTATAAACCAAGTATTTATATATAATGCTGAAATTATGATCTCCAGACCTGACATTTCTCATTCTACCAAGACATAGGATGTTATTTGGGCCATTTCTGTTGAATCTGAAGTCTTGGTCTTGTAATATTGCACTCGTTTATACTGGCGTCTACTACTAAGGTCCTCAGTAAGACTTCATAGACCATTCCAGTGGCCACTGATTATTCAATTCTTGGTTTATTTCTTTTCCTTTAAAAATGTAACCTATGGTCTGTGCCTCTTCTGTGCCAGACACAGAAGGCATCGACGAATAAGGCATCGACGAATAAGGCAACATCTTGCCCGATGTGCTCCTGATGGGGGGAGAGGATGAGGAAGCCCAGTTGTTGGTTTGGAGCCTATTCCCCTGGGGTAAAAAATGGCTCTTTGGAAGCAGGAGTGCTTGGATAAAGTTCCAAGACAGAGCTGGAGGATGCTGTATACGTGACTGGGATGGTGGGTGGAGAACTACTTTAAAGAGGGGAGAGGTTTGTGCAAAAGAATTGAAGACACTGAGGATTTGCTCTTTCTAAGAAAATCATGAGGACTAGAGGTCAGATCATGAAAGGTCTCATGTGTAACATAAAGGAGTACAATGGGGCAGTCATCAAAATGTGAAAAATAGAAAAAAAAATCATGGTTAGTATTTCAAGGTCTTTTCTAATTGGACGTTGGCTTAGTGGGGAATGATTAATGGAAACAGGGAGACAATATTTTCAGGACTAAGATTTGGGCCAGGAGATGGGAAAGATGTCCCCTATGACAGTGCCTGGTGTAAGAAGCAGCTTGAGACCGCTAATAAGGACACAAAAACATTGAAATGCCAACTTTTATGCTACGTGCAGTGTGTGTGAGCTCCAACAATATAGATGGGTTTTATTTTCCTTCAATTTTGTGTCTAGAGCACTACTGTGGCTGATTTTTTCTCACATTTTGATTTGATAAAGAGATGGAAATACTGAATTTCTAGATTTCCTTCTTCCATTTAGCAAACTCTCAGTTGATCCTTCAGTTCTATTAAATAACCCCACAGGGCAAAGTTCTGTGGTCCTCAAACATTTTTACCAATCATCTAGCTGGTCTCTGAGTAAGCACTGAGTCTGTAATAGATGGATTTAGAGGTTTACTGAGATCCCAGCTATTAAACTCCCTTTACATGATGACTGGATTATATCCTGCAGTTGGCCCCTGATGGAGACCCAGTCCTCACGCTGGGCGGGGGCTGGTGGGTAGAGGAGGAAGGGGCGAAATGGGAAAGAGAAATGAGGGAGCTCATTCCTGGGGGCACAGCTGCTGCTCAGCAGGAGTGGGGGACAGAGCAGCCTGGCAGGCATCCAGAGTCCCTTCCTTGCTGTAATTGCCAAGTGTCAAGAGAATAAACCTTTCTACCTGCTGGGGAGTGTACATTCAACAAAGAGACTCTGGAGGAGAGGATGAATCAGACCTGTGCAAGGGAGCAAGGAACTCTTATAGATTCTGCTACTGAAAGAGACTTTTGAGATTCACCCATGTAGACAAAGCCTACTCCTCTTG